GTTGCCGATTGACCTCCACGTGTCTTCATCGAACCCGAAGTGTGCGTCGTGATGCCAGCACCATCCGATACTGACACCGATGTACCAGTGCCAAATTCGTCCGACGTTTTAGTCGTTTCGCCACTCTCCACAGTAGTTGTAGCAGTTCTTGTTCTCCCTGAAGTTCCTTGGTCTGACGTGGTCTCGGATCCCGTCTCAAGGATGGCGGTAGAGGCGTTGTCGCTTCTGGGTCCCACTGCAGTCGAAGCACCATCGCTTCTCGGAGCAATCGCAGTTGAAACATCCGATTTTCCAGATTCATCTCTGGAATAAGATATTGCCCAACCCCATTACTGCAAAATTGTGAAGTCTAAGTGACGTACTCGTCGTTGTCCTTACCACCATCTTTTCGGACACTCTCATCGCTTAAAATATGGCAGGAGTTATAGAAGACTCAGAATATTACTTGATATACCTTATCAGTTTCGATGCTGAATTTCCAAACAGTTTTCCTTTTGATTTCATCTTTTTAATTTTGACTTCTTCAGGTCCCGGTTCTTCATTGTACTGAAGAGTCGACTTCTGTTAAAAGGGGATTGTGAGGTCCGCGCTATTACGTCCACTTCGCGCAAAGGCTCAGTTGTCAAACAGCCGCAAGCATTCGCTCAAAACGATTAGAAGTCGCGCTTTCTTTCTTGATAAGAAAAGCGAAGGTTTTTGTCGGACATCTTAATTGTTTTAAATCCTTTTTTTATTTCAGCTGCAAGGCGGAGCAAAGAACGAAAAGAGTCATGAGTTTAACTATCTCTCAAACGTTTGCAATGGTTTTTTTTTGAATAAGATGTCAGTGTGTGTTTTTGGACTCTCACATTTGTCGCTTCCGCATATCCCTTGCTTGAATTTTGAACAATCAGTATTGTCCTCATATTGACCTTATTCTGCTCATGGCGCTTAGAACAGAACAAGAAAACAGGAAAAACAAGGAAGGATTTCAAAACACACATTTTCTGAGCAGAAACGCCATCTTCTTATGGCTTAGCCCGTATGGCTTACGACATAGGCAGCGGGCCACAGAGTGAAGCAGAATGATAGCGTGGAATTTCGTAATCCCCAAAGGGTGTACACATCATACCACCATCTCCGATTTAGACCAATGCAAGAAACGAGCAGATTACGTTAATCCGCATTTTAATATTTTTAGTCCTTTGAGTTGTTGAAGATTGCTTCGAATAAAAAATGTTTAAAATCTTCTTCTCTGCTAGATAAATGATTACTAACTTTCAGTGAATCAGATTTCCTATGATATACTACTTATAAATAATCTGCTAGATTCCGTAACGTTTGAAATGATTTGATTGCACGCACAGGTTCAAAAAGAGGAAGTTGTATTTTACGGTGAATAAATAGAGATGATTGCCTTTTTTCCAGGCCCTGAGGATGACAGTTGTGAAGACGTAAGACTTTTCAACAACCATTACGTCTAAAAAGTTTAATATACTCAAAACCTCCCTGTCAAATGTCAGAAAGCGATATGATTATGAATTCGCGGGGAGAGTAGCCGCGGTAAATGTGGAGGTAGAAATCAATCACAACATCAGTACCTTTCAAAAGTCCAGGTAGTCTTGCGAGAAATATTTAGAACTGCTCTTTTTGCTACATTGTTTAGCTATCTTTTATGTTTTGGCCTCATGAATTTTATGTCATATCAAGTTTAATCTTGTATCATTGGTAGGTCATATCGCACATGCTCTATGGTGGCACTCTGGTAGCAACGATTGACAT